CTCGAACCGCTGAAGCGTTGACCATTTCTGGCCGGCAACTTTCAGCGTCATTAAGCCGCTCCGCCACTGCGTCCCCCTGGACAGATCTTTAATTGTTGGTAATTTTAATTCATTTTAACGCCCATTATTTAAATTTGTTTGCATGGTTTCAACTTATTATAAACCACTAAGAAAATGTAATGCAAATGAAGGGGTACTCCCAAGAATATTATTCTCAAGAAGAGTATTCCCTAGAAAATGTAACAATATAAAGTTCATACTGGCAGATATATTGTTGCAAGAATTACAGATATAAATATTTATATTTATAAATATGACCTTAATCTTTGGGTTTGCATTGTCTCTACATTCTTATCTTCCCTGAAATGGGTGTGAGAAATAAACTAGAAGCATCTGTTGCTATTCTTAATCGCATTTTAGCTTGTTACCTGATTCCTAAACTATCCACTGTTTTACCTATCCACTGTTAACCATTGTTTGTCTGTTTTTAGTTATACTGGAAGCTGAAGTTTCATTTTAAAGATAAGTAGATAATTCTTTAAATTCCCCTTTGCAGCAGGGCAGAGGAGAAGAATGTGCAGCTCCTGAAGAAAGCTAAGTTTATTCTCATAACTTTAATTCAGCATCATAGCCCAGATCCTCGCTACCTGAATAAAGTGTTATTTATACTCTATTGTACTAAACTCTTAATCAGTTAAAGTTCAGATTTCAAAAACTGGACAGCTTTCAAATTACAGACCAAAAGGGACCATCACACTGTTGTCATACTCTTCATCTTAGAAGTTTACAGAATACTGTTGGTCATCTAAAGTTCCACAACTAAATAAAATTCAAGGTTCATCTCTGTAACATCTTGATTATGTGGTCTTGTGAAATGTTTGACATGGCAATAAAATTGTTCAGAGCATACCTATAACATTGGTTTTATAAAACTGTTCACAGTAAACAAGAAGCAGAAACTGAAACCAAATAAAGTTAGAAGGCCAGTGTGGTGTAGCATTTAAAGTGTTACACTAGAAACAGAGGAACCAAGGTTCTAGTCCACCCTCGGCCATAGAAGCTAACTGGGTAACCTGGTCCAGTCATTCTCTCAGCTCAGCCTACCTCACAGGATTGCTGTTTCTGAAAAAAAGGATAGACTTTGTACTGCACTTAGATAAAAGCATGTACCAAATAGAAACACTAAGTTCTAAATCAGTATCTGTTGTGTTAAAAATATGTGTCTATTGGTCGAAGGGATTTTATCTTTTTTTGCCCAAAGGGCTGGAGATTCTACTTTGAATTGTCCAGCTTTTGCAGATTTAGAACATAAGCAAAATGAAGCATAGACTGAACACGACAAATCATCTTATACTAGAAGCATTGCTAATTCATAAAGTATGTTTTTAATTCCAGAATCATAATAGAACTAAGCCATAGTCTTTTTTTTTAAAAGAACTGCAAATCACATTAATGTATCATTTATATAAAAAAGGAAATGAATTTTAGTCTAAAATAGAATGCTGCTCATACACTGAGTTAACATGGAATAGACCTGAGAAATCTGGAACTGTAATATGATCCTAAATAATTTAGAGAAGGAAGTCAATTACAGAATGTTACAGTAGTTTTAAGACAAATGATAATTCAAAACCAAAAACACTTTTAACAAAAAAGCAGTAATAGCTGACTTTTTTTTGAAGGCGTAAAGAAAAAGTGTATGATCTCATGAGGCAATACAAACTCAGGTGTCAGAATTTTTAAAATGAATGAAGGTCTCTACAACCTATCCTCTGAAAATTGGCTAGGGATCAGATTGTACAGCATTCTCTATATAAATATAAAAACTTTAAAAAGGAAACAATACTCCTGACATTTTAGCTTATGGATTCCTCTAATAGCTGCAAATAAGTAAGAAAATATTCTGAACACTGAAGATGTTACCTAGCTGGGTAATGAAACATTTGCAAGAAAACAGCCCAGCTCAGAGAACCCCAAGGACTCCACAGTTCAACACTGAGCTACATATATTCGCTTCTATTGGAACACTATATACAAACTCAAAATTCTTACAACACACATTTATTTGTGTATATGAGCACTGATATCCAAAGTGGTAAACTACCCAATATAAAACCACAATAAAAGTTTTAAAAGCATAAGAAATAATAAAATCCTCATGCCATAGCATCAAAACATGTAGAAAGAAGCAATATTTTAAACTCCTTTTTAAAAAGCAACCAGGGATGAACCCGGTAGAAGGAGAGGAGAAAGATATTTCTGAATCAGAGATCCCATAGTTGTAAAACAAAAACAAATACATTCCTGTTGGTTCATGACACTCTTTTCTTTTCAGAAGAAGGTTGAAAAATATTAAAGTTTTCCAGAAACGTCCCAACAAAAGTGGATTCTCCCAACAGAACACAATCTAATCACTTGAAGACTGTTTAATGGGGATCTGGAGCACAAGGAAATATATAATGTCTCCCATTTTAAAAAGAAGCACTGAGAGCGTGTTTTCCTGAAACACTGGAGGACCACTGCTAGATAGAACAGGAAGTAGCAGGTAGGTAGACCAATTGCCTGACTCCATATGGGGCAGCTGCATCAATCATCATGAGATGGTTGTAAGATTCTACACAGTTTTGAAATATATATGGACATTTTAATTTCTGACCTTTGGGTTTATGAGTTTATTGGCTCACTGCAAAACAAAAATAAAAACAAAAAGTAAAATATTTATGGAAATGTTGTTACACGGCATTTTCACAGCTGCCTTCTGCTTTGCCTGAAAGGTGTTTAACCTCACAACGGCAGTGCCGATGAATGGCTAAGTGACCAGGAGCAAGCAGAAATGGAAGAGTTCCAGAGTGGACCTGACATACTTCTTTATATTTCCCAGCATATGGCAGTGATCAAATGTGTGAATTTCCTTCTTCTCACCTACGTAGATGTGTAAAGTGGCAGCATAAATTTTTCTTACATGCTAACAATTTTTGCTGGATTAGGATTGAAGGGTAGATTCAATGCTTCAAAAAAGCAGAGGTTTTCCCGTCATCTTGATTAATAATTGACTTCTTCTCCAATGATGAATGCAAAAAAAAAAAAAAAAAAGCACCATTCATGCCCAAGCGGGAGTATTAAGAGTTTTCATGTAATTGTCATGTATGATTTTGTTTTTAAATTTGATCTGTATTGCATTTAATCCCAATTACATATTGAGAGTTGTATGCCACTCAGAGTCAATGGATTGGAGTGGTTTATAAGCCCTGTAAATTAATTAATTAATTAGAAAAGATTTGTAGGAGTATATTCATTATATGCCTCTAAAGCTGGTGTGGGTAAGGGTGGATAATCACAACATGGGTCAATGAGGACTGAGCTTGTATAGAATTCTACAAGTCTATCATGGGAAGAAGGAAGGAAAAAGAAGACTAGATATGGATGTGTAGAATGAAGCATTCTGAAAGGGATTTGAGACAAACATGACTTACTTCACCCCAAACCAATTTAATTTACCTAAGAATAAAACTAATGGTGTAAATCAGAATTATTCATTCTCAGATGACGGATGTAGAATACAGGATAGATAAAAATGTAACATATCTTTTGAAAAACTTTTAAAAATCCATTATAATATACACATTCATGCTAAAGATTTATGTGCATCTTCTTGCATCATTCTAAAGTTTCAAAAATGGTGATAGGTATAGTATCTATACAAGTATCTGTACAGCATCTATACAGTACAGTACAATGAAACTATCTGCAATTGTATAATTTGTATAACATAAAGTATACCCAGTTCTCAGTTACTATAGCTTCTGTGAAATAAAATAAATGCTCAACAGGTATTCCTTAGATATGACACAATGGGATTTTTAGGCTAATCCAATATGTGATAAATTATCTGAATACTTAGTCTTTGCTCAGTATAGAGCTCATCCACATATTTTTGATGTACAATAATAAAGCACTACTATAAAATATAGCAACATTTTTGGAAAAAAAAAAATTGGAGAACACATGTGATATTTGTTCCAGTGATATAAGAACTGCATCCACAGAGCAGTAAAATAGTATGTTGCATTATGCATGATAAGCATTTCCATCCTCTTATATGAAAATGAGAAATGTTTGCCTCAACAGGACTACGCAATAACAGCGGTGCTTCTTGAATTGTGGATGTTATCAGGGTCTATGGTAGTACATTCATGAGCAGAGTTCTCCCTCCCTCCAGCTTACTGAGATCCAACCATACGTTATAGCACCAGAAAGAAAGTTCTCCTTCCCTCAAGTGTCAAGTAACACAGACACTCCCCCCCCCACACGTATACACACACACACACCTGAGCAAAAGCTAAATCTTTCATTTCAAAATGGCTTATTAAAATCAGAAAGAGTCAAGATATTCAGCACATCAAATATCACATTTGCATAGTTTGGCTGTGGAATAATTAACATGTTTTATAAAAGGTGACCTGCTAGAACTATTCTGGCTGAAGAATACCAAATTGCCAGACACACACATTTACGCACACCCAAAAAACCATAGTAATTTTTTTACAGGGATATACAGTGTAATTTGAGAGATATCCTGCAGGGAGCAGAGTGTAATCTGTTATCCTAATTTCCTTTTTAAAATTTCACTTTTTAGTCACATGTTACATAGCATGCTCATTTCCACAGCCTCGTGTTAATGTATACTAGGTGTTAAAAGTAAAAAGTACAATTTTCTAGGTTTATTTTTACAAAGGACTTACCGGTTTTATTTACATGCACATCCTTCGTTGGCACTTTGGCTAAAATAAAAAGAGTGAAGCATTTTAGTTATTGTAAATTTTGAACATGAATAATCAATATCTTTATCATATCCATATGTTTCAGGGAAGCAAAGGATAAAAAATAAAGGCATTTTCACCTGTTTCTATTTGCTTTTCTTTCTTGTGTAGTTCTAGATGTAAGAGGAAGGCCAGAGCATTATTTCTTCATTTGAATGTTTATAGTTCTCCCTTGTACCCAGTTGCTGTAGTTATCTGCTACTGCTTTCAGATGTAGTAGCAATGCTCTCCAGCAAAAGCAGAGGTAACAGAAGTGGGCATGGAGGGAAGATAACAAGGTAGGGAAAGGATCTGCATTTGGCTGGAGTGCTTTACTGTGACTCAGAGAGGCAGGCTGGCAGAGAAGGAAAATTATGAAGTGGACAAGGGAAGAGAGGCTAAGATGCTGTGCAGTGTCCATTAAGCTGTGCAGCGCTTACTGATGGGAAAAGCAATCTTGGGAAGGACCAGTTGTGGTCTTCCACAAATTCCATATTTCCTCAGACTGAGCCCACTCTCACCACAAAAAAAGAAAAGGCAAGCTGCAAATGGGAGGGATCCCGTCTCTCTGATAATCACAATTCATGATACAGTCCTTTTGTGGGACAGTGGACCCCCTGCAGGTTGCCAACATTAGAGACTCCATCTCTAGGCAACACGAAATGATCATGAAGGAGGTCTGCTTCTGTTTTTCTGATGGAAAACACCAATTTCTGGCTGGATTGCCTGGAGCAGCTTCACCATGCCTCAGTAGCAAGCTGGCCCTGAGATGGAGGACCTTAAGTGAAAATATGTCCTCAACAAACAGTAAATAGACTATCTTGGATCCATGGCAATGGGGTTGTGGGGATAAGGCCTAGATAACCCACAGTGGTCAAAATGCGCACTATACTATATGCCCATGATTTTATGTGTCTCCTTAATCACTTGTTTTATGGCACATTCATTTCCATAATGCCATGTCATTTTATAGTAAGTACTCAAAGGGGAAAATGCAGATTCATAGATAGGTGTGTTTGTACCCAGGTCTTACCAGATTCTTTTATATGCACATCCTTCTTAGGCTGCTTGGCTTTAAAAAAAAAAGTATTTGGATTACGATAAATTTTAAACATAGATAATCAATATTCCTATCATATCAATATGTTTCAGGAAGCAAAGGATAGAAAATTAAAGAGTGCTTACTGATTTGTGTTGACTTTTCTTTCTTGTCTGATTCTAGAAAGTAAGAGGAAGACCGGACATGATGAGCCAAGATAACCCATTGTGGGCAGAAGGTACCCTATTATCCATGGTTGCCACTTTATTTCTGTATTGGCACTTTTCTTCTGACACACTCATTTCTACACTCTTGTATGTTTACTATGCATTCAAAATGAAAACTTAATTTTCCAAATTTTTTTTTCTGAGATCTTACCAGATTCTTTTACATGAATATCCTTCTTTGGCAGCTTGGCTAAAATAAAAAAAAAAAAAAAGTATTGGGTTATTAAAAATTTTAAACAGCTTTGTCAATATGGTTCAAGGAAGTAAAGTGAGATGGGCGGTGACAAATTTGAAAATAAAATAAAATAAAATAAAAAATAAAACAAAGTAAAGATGGGACAAGGACAGCATACTTACCTATTTCTATTGGTTTTTCTTTCTTGTGTGTTTCTATAAAATAAGAGACAAGAAAATGACTTTTCACTGAACAATCCTTTCTACCTTTGAAGTTTTATTTCAGTAGTTAGCCACTTCTCTTATGGAACACTCATTTCTGTAGTCTTTGGTTAATTTTCAAGAATGGAAAGTGGAATATCCCAGATTTATTTTTTCTCAGGTCTTACCAGTTTTGTTTGCATGCACAGCCTTCTTTGGCAGCTTGGCTAAAATGAAAAGATTTAAGCATGTTGATTATTATAAATGTTGATCATGGATAATCAGTATGTGCAACACACCTTTCAGGTAACCAGAGGTGGGGAAATACGAGCATGCTTACCTATTTCTCTTGGCTTTTCTTTCTTCTCTGCTTCTAGAAAATAAGAGGAAGACCAGAACATAATTTCTGTTGCTGGGACATTCACAAGAAAGGAAAAGGCTCACTGTTTTGCACAAGTACAGTGGTTGCCTCGTCTTCCTGCTGTTGCTGCTGCTGCTGCTGCTGTCTAATATGACAGCAAAGTTCTTCCGCGAGCAGAGATATAAGAGAAATGGCATTCGAGGGAATAAGGATAGGAAAGCACTTGGCTGGGGTTCTTCACAGTGTGGGAAGGAGGCAGGCAGAGAAGAAGTAAGAGGTGGGTCAGGGAAGGGAGGGTCAGATAAACATGGCGGTCATGCAGTGCCTACTAACACCGCATGGAGGTTATGAACAGGAATACTAAACTTATGGAAACCCCAATGCTGATGATTCAGTATTCCCAAATAAAGCCAAACAAGCAGGAGATATCTAATTTTCTGATAGCCACAGTTAAAATGACAATGGATTCACAAGGATCCTTGGCCACATGGGATGGTGTGGTCCTGTTCTTGACCAAATGGTACCCAGCAGGTTACCAACTCTAGAAGACTCCTTCTCTGGGCAACTCGGAATAGTCATAGAGGATGTCTCCTTCTGTTTTCTGATGGGAAACATCACTTTATGGGTGGATCACCTGGAAGAACCCGAGCCTGCCTCAGCGGCAAGCAAAGCCAAAGATGAAGCATCTCATGTGAGGACATATCTTCAAGAAACGGAAAACAAATGATCCTGGAGCCAGGGCAAGGGATGAGCCCTGAGACACCAAGGGTGGGCAGAAGGCCCTCTATTATCCATCCTTGTCATTTGATTT